GGGAAACTACTGTTTTGGGTCAAAATCACATCCCAAAACACTAGGTAATGTCTCATCGCCTTGAAGCAAGGTCTAGCAACTGCACAAGTGTTTCCAGAACATTCTTACTTGGAAATTTTTCTTCAAGTTGCCCCATCTAAACCACCTGAGGTGACTTTTGTTTTTTGGTCCTAGGGAAAGAAAAAAAAAGATGTTGACACAGAGGGTGTAAATCCCATGCCATCTGGTTATGTTGCTAACAGCTGTCACCTCTGTCACACCAGGATTTACATAGCAATTTTTAGCATGAAGTTGCTTCATCCTCCACTACCTGCTGTTTAGCATCTCACACTCTTCCTTTTCACATCCCAAAGGATGGCAGTGTCCAGGGCTGTCATTGTAAGAAGAAATATGCACAGAGCACAGACGATGGAAGCTGGATTCAGAGACCAAAGCTGTTTGCTTATGAAACACTGGGAAATACTCAGGTCTATTTTTAACTCAAAATAAATCTCATCAGGCATCCTTGGACAAAAACCAAGTCTTTATTAACATGTATGTAGGCAATAACTTGATTAACCTATGAATTCCTGTCTAATTAGTATTTATCATGAAAAGCCCATGAACTAGTCTTGTATCCTTATTTATATTAGGATAATATTTTTGTGCATTTGAATTTCAACGATCTTGTAGTGATATCAGCAACTGACTGGTAATGACACTAATTCCCAGCTTTTCACACTATTGGTAATTAGATTGATAACTAACCCACGGATAATCCATGGCTGGTACCTTATTTTTGGCATGTCACTTCCTGATTTTCCAACTAATTTTCAAGAGGATACTAATTCCTTTCACCTTAGAGAGATGTTGGATTATTCTGCAGAGAAGACAATGAATAGTAAGTGGCAGAAAGTGTCACAGAATGAGTGGGAGATGAGACCCCTCTCAGATGACAGTAACCTGCATTGCTTAGGAGTTATGGGGACTCCCAGGAAACATTTCTGTCACCCATCAGGAAACAATTTTTCCTTCTATGGCGTCATATAAATAGCGATTGCTCTTAAGCAAAGCAACCCCAGGTTGCTGCTACTTGCTTATAAATTATCTGCATAGACAAATTATTTAAGGGAGCTTGAATAATATATTCAGTTTCCATACTTCGGGACTCCTATTTGGGTTCTTTTTTTGCATATCCCCCTTGTCACTTATCCACTTCCTCTCCATACTTTTCATCCAAAGAATCTCCTAGCGGATGATTTATTTCCACCAAGAGCCAGCACCCTGCTTAGCAACTAAGCAGCACTCAATAAATACAGGCTACTATTATTATTCGTTATTATTATTATTTCACCCCTGTGTCTACTCTGTCAGGCTGTGATTCTGTTAGAGCATATGATAGATAATAAAATACGATGATGTCTTCAGTAATCAGAAAACAACAACAAAATTAAAAATTTCCGACCACTGAGAAGGGACCAAGTAGAAGTGAGTAAAAGTAATATAGCAGTTAAGACAGAGAAGGGAAGGTCGTGTCCCGCAGAGACCACGGGACTTTGTGGAAAGAGGACACAATGGATCACAGCGGGGCCATGTGTGCCCCATATCACATGTACTGATAAATCCTGGAGTCGCAGCTTCAGCTGCTCTGGGCTGCCTCACATCCTCCACTGAATGAAAAGTCCCTCAGTCCACAAGGGGATGAAGCGGAGCTGATACCAGCTGCTGTGGGCAGAGTTCACCGTCATCTGTCAGTGTCTGCACCTGTCTGCTTGGCACCCAGCGCATATTAGTTGTTAAATGCTCCCACCTCTAGAAACAGAGTTTGCAGTGCATTCTCAGAAAGCATCTGTAACTGGCCCAATCTAAAGAGGATTCCTTTATTCATTTCATGAATGTGTTCATTTGTTCAACTGTTATTTACTGACTGCTTGTCATAAACCAGCCTTGTGTCAGGCACCTGGTTGCAGAGCAAACCTGGACATAGGCTCTGTCTTCAAGAAGCTCCCAAACCAAGAAGTCAGGCCAGGGTATGTAAATTGTGACTTGGCGGACTCAGCATTAGGTAGACTTGGATCAAGGACAATCCTGTTCTCAGCATCTAAATCTGACGCTCTGGTCCCTAACATTTTCCTACACAATCTAGCATGCAGGGAGATATACTTTTGTTCAGTCGTTCGCTCCCCCATGCATGCCGCGGGGTCTTAAGAGCTAATGCACCGCATCTGGGAAGATTTCTTTCCTTCTTTGCCAACAATTCTACTGACTTTCACAGTCACCCCAGACTGTGAGCTTTAAAAATGAAAAGACCACTATATGAAGTCACCAAGGCAGACAGGAATCATTACTTAGAGGATGTCATTACTTAGGAGAGTTGTGACTGGCCAGCAGTTCTCCAATGTCATGACAATGGAAAAGATTCATCTTTTGGAACATGTTTTATCCAACCGCTTATTAAGACTTCCTCACTGTGTGCATGACCAGTCAACTAAAAGATCCCCTCCTTTGTTATCAGCAAGTACATCTAATCATAAAAATGTTTAAAGAAGATCACTTAGACTTTTAATTTGGGTCAACAGTTCCAACACACATCATAGACAAGACCGCCCAGCTACTATTTTATGTTGCTTTTAAAAAATAAACTTTAAAAAATAAATAAATAAATAAATAAATAAATAAACTTTAGTTATTTTGATACTTGCTTACTAGGTGTACTTCTAACCGTTATTAGTGTCTACCTAAAACATCACTCCCTTTTTTTTCTCATAATAAAACCCTTCTTGGGCTTCCGTGGTGGCGCAGTGGTTGAGAGTCCGCCTGCCGATGCAGGGGACACGGGTTCGTGCCCCGGTCCGGGAAGATCCCACATGCCGCGGAGCGGCTGGGCCCGTGAGCCATGGCCGCTGAGCCTGCGCGTCCGGAGCCTGTGCTCCGCAACGGGAGAGGCCACAACAGTGAGAGGCCCGCGTACCGCAAAAAACAAAACAAACAAACAAAAAAAAAACCGAAAAAACAACAACAACAACAAAAAAACCCTTCTTTTCTGTTGGAAACTACGCCTTTCTCATCTCAGTGCTTGCCAGTAGATGGAGCTGACTCTGGTTCTCTGCTGGAGGGGAAAATCTCATGAGCAAGGCTGATCCAATGAAAATCAGGAGCCACTGAGCAACAAGCTGTCTGGTCCATTAGGATCCTTAGCACTAAGGACAAGAAGGCCTGGAGGTGCCAGGAGCCACCTGTGCTACCACAGGGAGTCTACATGACAATGGAATCAACATGGAGGGAAGCAGAGCCAAGAAACAGCAAGAAAGACCAACCGCTTATGAAATTGGTTTAACCATTGGGTCCAGTAGATCGGGTTCTCAGGGAGCAAATATTAGAGTCTGGGATAAAGATTTTGACCAAAGCTCAAAACCCGTGAAAGCCAAGAAGGAAAAAGTAGGATTTGAGATAAGAAAGAAGTCAAACTGTGATGGCCCAGAAAGCCTTGGTCATGCTGGAAGGAAGCTCTGGATTGAGCCCTCCCCACTAGAACTGTCCAGTGTTGGGCAGAAATGACCCCTGATATCCTCTCCTTGTTCAGTCACCAGATGCAGGCAGTCCCTGGAAGGGCGAGACCCTGGGCAAGTGGCTCCTGCAGCCAAGGAGATCAGGAGGAAGAAGCTGAGACCTGGAGGCCACTGGCTGACCCCGCTGCCCACAGTGAGGCAGCGAGTCATTCTGGGTGGTACATCGCTGTGTCAACCATACAGCTCTAGTAGAAAGCACATGCTCAACCCAGTTATATGAGCCAGTACAAACTCCCTATTTTCTTCAAGCCAGTTTGAGCTCAGTTACTTTTACTGCTAATCAAGAGAGTCCATGCTTCCCTTCAAAGTCACAGGTCCTCTGAAACTTCATGATTTCAGCAAAATATACACTCCCGAAGTAGACTGGGGAGCCCAATTTAAACCCATGCTCACCAACATGAGGGCAAGCACGGCAGCTAATCAAGCCCCAAATCTGCAGTCTGCAGCTGGCTCAGACATTTCAAATGATCAAATACTGAAGATGGGAAATGTCTGTTTTATTGGGCTGAGGATTTTGTGATTAAAACTGCCGAGTCACTGGGCAAAAAGGACTTTGGTTTGGATGTCACAGAACAAATAAAGTCCAGCATACTGACATTTGAATAAGCTTTATTATAATGGGAAGAAGACTTCTCAGTTTCATCTCTGGTCAGAAAGCTTCTCTCTAACCTATTTATCTCTCAGGAATTCTCATCCTCTCATAACAGAATGTGTTTGCTTCTCTGACAACAATGATTCATACATTAATAATGCCTTCTTTGTTCCTGCAAGTGACCAAGTTTGTAATAGTGAGCGTGAGAGGAAAATACAACCAGCACTTCAGGCTCTTTACTGGGGAGCAGTACTTTAAATTACTTTCATATGTGCAGAAGTTAATTTTCACTCTTGGTAGCTATTTTGTTAACCTTGTGAATTTCCAGCAATATTTCAATTTATAGCAAAATACAGCATAAAATTTGCAGTTCCAACACCCCAATAAAATGATGTGAACACACACACATATTTCACTTTCAGTATATATTACACATATATCAAGAGGTGCAACAACATATATCAATAAGCATGTGTAGGCGTGTACGCATAAGGCAGGAGAGAGAGACAGAGAGAGAAACCACAAAGGCACCAATGTACGTCACGGTCTACAACTAAATAATAAATGATAATAGTGTAAGGATGAAGCATTGTTCAGCGCCATTAGGTAACTGAAATTAACTTGATCTTGCTTGCCTTTAGAACCTTCCTTGTTGAAATGAGTAAATTATGTTAATAATCTCCTCTGGATAGACTGTTTTTTGTAGAGTTTCTTATATTGCAACTCAACTGACAGAATCCAATGCTTGGATTATCAAGTTTCTCAGGGTAATTTATGGAAGCAATAACAGTACATATGCTGTGGGTCTCGCCCCAAAACTTGTTTAATAAACATAAAAGCAAAAACAGAGCACTTGTTACCTCCAGAGTGTGGCGGGAGGCCACAGAGCAGGACAACTCCCTGTCCTTCACGCACTGACACTGTACTTCTCATTTTGGTTTTAAAATTTTCCAGATCTGATTTGAAAACAAAACAAAACAGAATTTCAGAAAGGACCATAAATTTAAAAATGTTCACACAGAGACATTCCTCTTTTTTAGGATAATAAAAAATCCCGTCTCAGGAACCTCAGGAGGAAAACATTTAACATTTGCTTTGAGAAGGAAAAGTAGGATTTTGATTTCTTTATTAAGGCTTCCAGAAATGCAGCAATAGAAACAAAAATACATACCCACTAATCCTGTAAATTAAACCCACATATTCCTTTTTATCTGTAGCTGTAGAAAACTACAAACTGTTTTTATCATTGGTCAAATAATTTTTTCAAGTATTTAATAAAGCAATTAAGGCAAATACTATTTTGATCACCAGTGGCTATTTTTAAAAACCATTTAATTTCTTTCAATAATAATCCAGGACAGCAAATTCCAATTCATATTCTCCAGCTTAAATTATAGCACGGAGAAGATTCTATGGGCTTCATTTTGAACAAAGCTTAAGCCTACGGGGAAAAAAAGAAGAAACATTTGTTTCTCTAAACTGTGACTTAAAAAAAAAGTACTGTGCATTCCATAGTTAATATACGCTGTGGTGTCACTTTCTGTATTAGAGCAATTACACTGTCAATTTGTGAAAGAATATACTCATTTCATAGCTTTTAAGGGTTGATATAAATTGCCTATGTGGTGACTATGAAAAGTAAGGCAGTGTACGTATTTTAAAACACAACTTGAAAAATTTCAACTTTGAAAAATGCGAAAACCAAAATAATCTTCTTCAACTTGATAAAACTACCAACTGTAGACATGTATGAATTTTCTGAGCACCATAAATCAATACATCAATGGGAAATTAGAAGGCCTATGTGTTTCATTTTATTGTTACTGAAAAACAGTATTAAATTGCTAGGTTTTAAGCATGGAATAAAGCAATTCAGCAAAACTCACATATGTGTGACGATAAAAGGAGAAAAAATAGTGTTTATGGACTTATTTTATTCAGACGTTACCCTACAAAAGTGATCCAACATAGCATTATATCATCTTAAATCTATAACCAAACACAGCATTATCAAAACATTAAGGCTTTTGAAGTGTAACTGAGCTGGAACTGCAAAATTGGACCATCCAAATGTTTCCCAAAGACTAAGTGGAGGAGTACATCATATCAGAATGTAGCCCATACATGGAAAAATAATTTCAAATCATTATATTTTGACAACCAAGTATGCATCATATTACTGATTTTCTGTCCAATTCCTTGTTTTCTTCTGTTATATAACTTCACATCATAAAACATATTCATCACTGATTTTACCTAGAATACACCAAAAAGGATAAAAAAAAGGTTCTACGGAAACTAACAATGTCTCTTCTCCTCCATAGGTGAAAACCTCTTTTGCCTAAACACTAACACTGTCACACGTTTGTCCATTGCTCTAGACATTTGCAGTGATACTATCTCTACAGTATATAAGGGCAAAGAACATTATTTTTGGATACCTGATGTGGCCAGTTCATGGAGAACATGCATTAGGAAGAGCAAACAAAAATAACTGTAGTGGCCTGAAGTGTTTTCCCGGCTTTTTTTTTTTTTTAACCCTAGGGACTATAGAGATCAAAGTAGTAAAAATATCCAAAAAGTTTCAGATTACTGAAATATCCTGGCAGATTATATATGCAACCCAAACCCAAGTCAAGGCTGCATATGGTCCAATCTTGACAAGAACTGTATCAGAACAAGTCCTGTTTAGGAGTCAAAATAAATAAGAAATCATTCCAGAAATTATTTGGTAGAAACCTCTCAGATTTTTCTTCCTGTCTCCTAATTCTTGCAAAATGTGACATTATTCACATTTTGTGAGCCTCTAATTAGCCAGACTTTAAGAAGAAACCAACTTCATAAGGAGCATCTACTAGCATCATATCTGATGGTGAAAGACAATGTTTTCTGCCAACATCAGGAATACGACAAGGATGTTCATTCTAGCCACTTGCAGCCAACATCGTATTAGAAGTTCTGACCGCTGCAATAATAAAAGAATAAAAAATAAGAAGCACACAGTTTCTAAAGGAAGAAATAAAATGACCCCTATTTGCAGATGATACGATTGTCTGAACAGAAAATAGGAAGGCATCTACAGAAACAAAAAGCAAACCAAAAAATTCCCACTACAAAGTGACTTAAATAGGTCACAGGATACAATTTCTAGAGAGTAACAGTAAACCTGCAGAAATCAAAATTAAAGACACAAAATTGCTTACAATCATTTCAAAGAAAATACAGTACTTAGGTATACAGATAATAAAACATACAAAGGATCTATATGCTGCAAGTTACAAGATACTGATAAAAAAGAATCAGTCTAAATAAAGTGAAGATACCTAGTGTGTTCATGGATTGGAAGATTCAGCATAGTTTCAACTGTCCCCAAATTGATAGACAGATTTAATGTAATTCCTATCAAAATTCCAGCAAGGTTTTTGGTTGTTTTACTTTTCTATTTTTTGTAGATGTAGACAGGCTTGTGCTAAAACTTACATAGAAAAAGCACAGGCCCTAGAATAACTAAGACAATCTTGACTAAGAAGAATAAAGTGGAAAGAACCACTCTACCTAGTATTAAGACTTATTATGTAGCTACAATGAGCGAGACAGTGTGGGAACGGCAGAGGGACAGACACACAGAACAATGGAATAAAACAGAGAATCCAGAAACAGATGCACACAAATATGCTGAGCTGATTTTTGACATATGTGCAAAAGCAATTCAGTGGAAGAAGGACAGCCTTTCAATAAATGGTGCAGGAGCAACTGGACAACCATAGGGAAAAGAATGAACCTTGCCCTCAACCTCACTCATATATGAAAATTAATTCAAAATGGATTTGAATGTAAATGTAAAACATAAAAATATAGAAATATAGACCTTTTAGAGAAAAATATAGGAGCACATCTTTGGGATCTAGGGTTAAGCAAAAAGGTTTTAGGCTTGACAGTAATAAACTGGACCTTACAACATTTAAAACTTTTGCCTTGTGAAAGTGCATGGGAAAAGGATGAAAAGACAGGCAACAGGAGAAAATATTTTCAAATCGCTTATCCAGTAAAGGAATAGTATACAGAATAAGTCCTCTTAAAACTCAATAGTAAAAAACGAAACTATCCATTTAGAAAATGGGCAAAACAATGAACAGGCATTTCACCGAAGAAGATATAGAGATGGCAAATAAGGACGTGAAAAATGTTCAACATCATTAGTCATCAGGGAAATAGAAATTAAAACTGCAATGAGGTATCACGGCACACCTATCAGAATGGTTAGCAACACCTATCAGAACTACAGCGACAACACTAAACCCCATAAAGGATGTGGAGAAACAGAATCGCTCATACATTGTTGGTGGCTGTATGACTGTACAGCATTTCACAGCCACTCTGGAAACAGTTTGATAGTTTCTTCAAAAACTAAACACACAGTTGTCATATGATCCAGCAATCGCACTCTTGGGCATTTATCCCAGGGAAACTAAAACATATTTTCACAAGAAAACCTGTACAGAAAAGTTTGTACAGCTTTATTCATAATAGCCCTGAATTGGGGACAACCCAGATGTCCTTCAATGGATGAATGGGTAAAGAAACAGTAGTGCACACATTTCCTGGAATACTACTCAGGAATAAAAAGCAATGGACTATTGATACACCCCACACTTGGATGAATCTTCAGAGAATAACGCTAAATGAAAAAAGCAATCCTGAAAGGTTACATGCTGTACGACTCCATTTATATAATATTTTTAAAATTACAGAATTTCAGAAACAGAGGATGCATTAGTGGTTGTCAGTGTTTAGGGAAGTTGGGGCAGGGATATGGGTGTGGTTATAAAAGGGCACTGTGAGGGATCTCGACCACAGTGTGGATACACAAACTATACATGATACCATTATAGAGAACTAAATACACGCGCGCGCGCGCACACACACACACACACACACACACACACACACAAATAAGTACATATACAACTGGGGAAATCCGAATTAAAAAACAAAGATAAAATCCAGCTCTCCATATTTTTTTACTTTCTTTCCTCTTCCTCCACCCCACCTACAGGCCACAAGTGGCTCACCTTGATTGCCCTTCTGGTAACCACCTATGCTGTGCTGCTCTAAGATATCCCAAGTTCTGGTCACACCCTGGAGACAGTATCTCCCAAGATATCACACGGAGGTATGCAGAGCCAGGAGAGAAATACACTCCTTACTTTGACTGCTTTTCCTATGAATATTCACATGGACCATTCCTTGTGTATAAAATACTCTACCTTGACACCTGTCTGTTAATTTTATTTATTGGGCTAGGTTTTCTATGGGCTGCTCAAACACTTCATACTTGCAGGTTGATCTCCCCTAGAGGGGTGGGATAGGGAGGGTGGGAGGGAGACGCAAGAGGGAGGAGATATGGCGATGCATGTATATGTATAGCTGATTCACTTTGTTTTACAGCAGAAACTAACACACCATTGTAAAGCAATTATACCCCAATAAAGATGTTAAAAAAAAAAAAAAGAAGAATCTGCTTGCTAATGCAGGGGACATGGGTTCAAGTCCTGGTCTGGGAAGACCCCATGTGCCATGGAACAACTAAGCCCATGCGCCTAGAGCCTGTGCTTTTCAACTAGAGAAGCCACGGCGATGAGAAGCCCGCGCACCGCAACGAAGAGTAGCCCCCGCTGGCCGCAACTACAGAAAGCCCGTGCACAGCAACGAAGACCCAACGCAGCCAAAAAAAAAACCCAGTAAAGTTTCTAAGGGAAAATTCTACCATGGCAGGCTATAGGTGTGTCCTAGGAAAACAAAACTAGTTCCTTATGTAAAAACAATGGCTTGCTCAACAAGTTCAATAGTATCTTAGTTTTCCTTCCCCAAAAGCAGAGCCAAGAAAGGACTTGAGTGATCTGCGGTATATGGAAGATGATCTCGGAAAGTAGGAGGGAAGGAGTGGGGTGAATAA